TAAAGAAAAAGGAAATAATTATTGTCAGTATTATTAATAGAGAAAATTGTAAACAAAATTAATAATAAAGAAAAAGGAAATAATTATCTGCTGCATTTTTCTCTTATGAACCTACTTCCTATTGAGAGGCTTGTTCTAACCCTCTTTGGAAGCAAGCTATGATTGATGAACTATAGGCTTTTGATAAAACTCATACTTGGGATGTGGTTGATCTTCCTCTTGGAAAAAGTGTTGTTAGTTGCAAATGGGTTTATAAGCTCAAGACTCATTATGGTTGTATTGAGCATTACAAAGCTCGTTTTGTTACCCGGGGGTTTACTTAATAATATGGGATTGACTATAAAGAAACCTTTGCTCTTGTTGTCCGTCTAACTTCTGTTCGTAGCTTACTTACCATTGCTGTTACTTGCCACTAAACACTTTGTCAGATGGATGTGAAGAATGCATTTCTCAATGGAGATCTCATTGAGGAAGTTTATATGTAACCTCCTCTTGGTTCCTCTGTTCCATCTTCCAAAGTATGCAAACTTCGTTATGCTTTGTATGGTTTGAAACAAGCTCCTCATGCCTGGTTTGCCAAGTTTAGCTCCACCATTCATGACTTTGGATTCTCTTCCAGTGCCTATGATTCTGCCATTTTTATTAGTAAGACAGAGCATGGTACTATTCTTCTTCTTCTTTATGTGGATGCTATGATCATCACTGGAGATGACATAGTGGGTATCTCTAGTCTCAAACAGTTTCTCAATCGCCAGTTTGAGATGAAGGATTTGGGTTTTCTCAGCTATTTTCTTAGCTTGGAAATCTCTCATGATCCGTCTGGTTACTTTATCTCCCAGACCAAGTATACTTATGATCTCTTGGCTCGTGCTGGTCTTACTGATTGCAAGCCTGCCTTTACTCTTATTGACCCTCAGACTCGTCTCACATTTCTTGACGGTCACCTATTGTCTAATGCTACTTTATATCGTTAGCTAGTTGACAGTCTTGTCTATCTCACAGTTACTCGTCAAGACATTACTTATGCTGTTCACATTGTTAGTTAGTTCATGGTTGCTCCTCGCTCTCCACACTATGATGCTCTAGTTCATATTTTACGCCATTTCAAAGAAACTATGTTTCATGGTCTTCATTACTCCGCTCACTCTTCCCTACAGTTACATGCATTTTCTAATGCGGATTAAGCAGGGGATTTTACTGATCGCTGCTCTACTATAGAGTTTTACTTCTTCTTGGATGACTTGCTCATTGCCTAGCGTAGCAAGAACCAAACTCTTACTGCTCGTTCTAGTACTGAGGCTGAATATCGTGCTCTTGTTGACACTACTCAGAAGCTTGTGTGGCTTCGATGGCTTCTTTCTGACATGGGGATTTCTTATCCTGCTGCTATCAACCTCTACTGTGACAATCAAAGTGCTATTCAAATTGCATATAATGATGTGTTCCATGATCGCACCAAACACCATGAAATTGATTGTCACTTCATACGACAACATGTTACTGGTGGCACTGTTTGACTTGTCTTTGTTACCTCTGCTGATCAGACAACAGATATCTTAACCAAGGCTCATCCCCCATGACGCTTTTCTGACTGGGATAGTTTGGGATGATCTAAATATGTGCACTTTTTGACTTTTTATGAAATATGGGTTGGGTTTGAAGTGATGTGTTAGAGAAGTGATGTGATTTAAATAAGATGATGTGACTTAAATAGGATAGTGACTTTTTAACTTTTTAGCTTTTTTAGATCATGCCAAACAAAGCTTTACTTTCCAAGCTCAAGTTGTTATCAACGTTACCACCTTAACCTTAAGAGAGGGGGGGAGGGAGAGCGGTGTTAAATATAGTATATATTATGTATACTTCTGTATTTATCATAATTCAAACATTATTGTATTTAGGTTAGGTTTTTCATAATTAGGTTTGTCTCTTCCTATATAAAGGAGTCTTATACATTGTGTCATTTAATTAATTGATTACAAGAGTTTTCTCTTTTCTCTTCATTCCTATCTCTTTATAATATCATAACAACATTAATGTAAATTGTCATTAATAATTCAATCAAAGAGTTATATCTACAATGGTGTCGCGGTGGTTGTGGCATAGTCAACAATTGTGAATGAGGTTGAGAGAGGTAGGAAAATGGATGGCTATGAGAGGAGGTGAGAGAGGCGCTTGTGGAGAGGAAGGATGGCTGAAGGAGGATTTGCTCATTGGTTAGGATTTTAGGGACATAGAAGAGAGAAAATGAAAGAATGAAATATTTGCTTTTAGTAATTTTGCATAATTGTTTGATCTTCTAATTTTATTGCAAATTTTTCTTAGTAAGACTTCGTTTGGGAAGTGGGTTGGCTTTTAGTTTTTTTAGCTAGTCTGGGGTTAAAAAGCCTGGTTTAAGAAAGATTTTTAATTTTTTTGACTTTTTTGTGAGAGAAAAATGTAATGATTATGAATTAGATGTGATATTTTGTTTTATTGGACTAAAAAATTTATTTTATTTTTTGTGACTATTTTAGTTAAAAAATTCTCAAACCCAACTTTCCAAACATAGACATTAATAATATTTTGTTTTATTAAAAATAAAGAATATAAATTTATACACATTGTGCCATTTAATCAATTGAACACAAGAGTTTTCTCTTTTCTCTTTATTCCTCTCTCTTTATAATATCATAACATGGTATTAGATCTAATGCTCTCTTTCTAAGCCGCCTCCGGCGTTCCACCTTATTTTTTCGCTGTTCCAAACCACCTCTGGCACACCACGTTCTCCTTCAAATATTTGTGTGTCTCTGTTCCCAGTTTTGTCCGCCTAAAACCCAAAATAACTGGCACAGAGACCTTTCTTATCACTCCATGAATCTGTCACCACCAACTGGCACTGAAATCACTTCTAACGCGTCCTCACGCACCTTTAGAAGCCTCGGCGCGTCATTTTTGGCGTCACTATGTGCACACGCACTGGCACATGCTCTAGGGCATTTGTTTGATCTGTCATGTGCTCCTATGCGCGCATCTCAACCCGTCTTGCTGACCTCAGCGCAACGTCAGCCCTACTGTTCAACCATCTGCCGCTGCTTTCGTCAGCTGCTAACGTGCGCTGCGCCTTCTCTGCTACACTGCGCCAAGCCTCAGCCATGCTAATATAAGCCGCTTCTCTGCTGACGTCAG